CGAGAGCGGCGTCTGGAGGGAGTCGCGTCGGGATCAGAACCGGTGCCGGAGGTAGCAGTAATGCTAATGCGGAGCGCTTCTAGCTCGCTGAAAATTTCTCCAAACCGCTCATTAGTGGCCTCCTGGTTTGCAGCAATAGTGCCGAGTAAAGCATCATACTGCGCCTTCTGCCTTCGCTCCAGTGCGGCGTTCATCTGGTTCTGCTGATGAATCGCAAGGAGGACTTCCTCAAGTGTGACTGCGGGAGCAGGGGGTTGTCGGGTAGATGTCTCTGGGATATCCTGGACAGGCTCAGCTGCATCCATAGCGTCCTGCATCTCGTCCGCTGGAGCGTCTGCCTGATCATCATGAACCGGGACGTGATCGGCAGCAGCAGGTAAAACAAAGAGCCAGTTGGCTCGGTTGGATGGATCGATGCGGCTGCGGGACGGTAGAATGATGTGGTGGAAAATGGTGCCATTGACAACAGGGCTATACCTGCCATCCTCTCGCTGCGCGATCAGGTGGGCGGACCTGCAATAGCTCTTGGTGAGGAATTCGGCGGCTAGGTGAGGCTGATTAACGAGCGTGTCACCAAGCCCCAACTGAATGGCGAGGGCGGTGACAATGCCGCCTATGAAGAACGGGGAGGAGCCTCTCTGTGCAATGGCCTGGATATGATGAAGCATGAAAGGGGCAGCGTTGATCGGCTCGTCACTAAGCGCGCAGTGTAAGAACAGAAGCTCCTTGGAGTTGAGCTTATGGTTGCTTTCTCTAGCGAAGATTGTGTTGCAGATGACCCAGTGAAAATAGCGGATTGTCGGGTTGTGGATGTGTGTGGCGTTGAGGCTCTGGAAGGTGGATGCATGGGTGTTGGTTAAGTCGTGCCATAGAGTGAAAGCTTGTTCACTAAAATTATCGGGCACGCGACGGTGGGCTTTAGTTCCGTGATCGAAGCCTAACAACTCGGCTATCCTGGTTTGCGGAAGATTGAACTCTTGGCCATGCAATCTGAATGTTGCGATGCCGGTGAGCTGACTCTGAGAACCGGGAGGGGTGATGTAACTGTAAGAGCTTAAGAATTCCAGCGTCAGAAGTTCGAATGTGGGCTGAGGTTGCCGGCAGAGATCCCACAGACCGACCTTTTGCAGTAGGCTTTGAACGCTGGCGAGCATTCCGAGTTCCCTCAAACAGTCAGTGGCAATGTAGCGGGTAGGTTGCACACCGCGGTTTTGGAATCGGATGAAACGGTCTCTCTGGGTTACTCCATCTTCACCTTCTCTAAAAGTGATGGAATCCATAGCATGCAAGAGTGAAGAGTGAGGGAAGAAGGTTTTTGTGAGGTTTTGTGAGAAAAATGGTAGAATGAGGGAGATAGAGGTTCGGGTTAAATAAGGGAGAGTGTTAATGAGATGGGTTATGATAATGGGGGGTTAATGGGGGTAATGGGGAGGTTACGGCGGTTATGGAAGGAATGGGTAGTTTTTGGGGGAGTTATGGAGGAAGAAGAAGAAGGTTCCGTATGGGCCTCTTGGAAAACTATCGGGAATGGGAGAAGCAGCAGTAGGTTCCTCTTGTTGGGCTTCAGGGGCTTCATAACTTAAGGGTCATCATGAGACACATGCCACGATGCAGCCGCAAGTGCACGCCTGTGCAAAGTAATAAAATAAATATCGAACCACATAGAGTAATGATTTAAGTAGGGAAATCTTGTTCTATCTGTGTATATCTAGAGAAATTGAAAATATGGATTTTGGTAAACAACTTAACAGAAAAAGCAATTAAATGAAAACAACTTAGGGTTACGGTTCATACTCTAACGTAATCACATGATCCATGTTACTTCTATTACAAGAATTCCGCATCAATTATAGAAAATAGATCATTATGGGCAATACCTGCTTTCGCCAGCACATTGCTTTATCGACGACGAATAATGCGTCTGCTTTCGCATAGCCAAATTATTCTTCGTCTATTCGTTAACTTTTGCTCAGCTATATGTTTTCTCAAATTCGTCCAAGTACTTTCGTTGTTTTGGACTAGGTAGTTTAAAAATCTGCGTTCCAATATCGACACATACTTTCGTAACGAAGTTGGAATGCATGAACTCAGACTATAAAATAATTTTAATTATAATTCTCGCAATCGATCATGCATTAGGTCATAAAATAATCCCCATAACACCTAATACCTAATGAACTACTCAGTCATGGTGAAGACAAACATAATCAAATCGATAACCATCAAACTCATATCAAACAATCACAATAGATGAATAAATGAAGAAGAATGAATAAAAAAACATGAATTATGATTAATCTTTGATTCAAAATTTCTCCTTTGGAGACTTAAGTTACAGAGAAAAAGAAGACAAATAATATGTAGAAACTTTCTGAATAAAAATTAGGATCCAAAACTCATAACAGACTACGAATTTTATGAAAAAAGTAAAAGTGCACAAAATCCTTGACTTAATTACTATTCAATCAAATTTTATCAGATCAAATATTTCCTAAGAGCCACAATAAAAGAGAATCAGCCTAAATATGGAAACATGACAAATTTTTATGGCCTCCCTGCTACGGGTGGCCGTAGTAGGTCTTTGACTTTTGTACCAAGAGAGCTATCAAGAGGGCGCCTAGGGTTTTTGGTATTACGGTCTGTAGCAGTTGCTACACGTGGTATAGCAGCCCCCTGATTTTTGTATGGGAAAAATTGTCTTTTTGCCGCCTTGCCTCGTTTTAGTTGTCTTTGATCCCTTGTTATCTTGGATACTCATTAGACCCTGAAATTAGCAACAAAGCACAACCAAAGCATAAAAGATGGTAACTAAAAGTAAATCCAACAAAATGCGACAAAATACTACGACAAAATGGTTAGGAATAACGATGCAAAAATCATTTATCTTTCCCTCTGGAGATTGATGTTTGAGACACACGACCTTTTTAAGTCTGAAACACACGACCATGTGAATTCGACGCTTCCGCGTTAAATGCACTAGCACTAACTCATGGCATCGAGCGCATTGCCCTCTCCATACAAAGGGACACATGTTCTGTCATAGTTTTCAGCCATTGTTCCTAATTCCTATAATACAAACCTGGAAGTCATATCAAAATCAAGGCAAGTAAAATCTATAGATGCATCTCCATAACATAGAAAAGGAAAAATCTTGAGATGCATCTCCGTAAAAATGCACGATTGCAGAAAATGTATAAAACACATAAAATACCCTAAACACCAACATATGTGAATGCATGTCTATACAAACTACCTATTTTGAATGTAACTACGAAATTAATACATTTTAAAAAATCTATTTTAGCTAAAATATGCATAACAACTCAAAAATAGAAAGGAAATGAAAAACTTACCGATTGAGAGTTGTTGCATGAAAGCTTGAATGGGGTGAATGAAATGTACTAGGATTGATTGCAATGATGTGGAAGTAATGTTAAATTTTGAAAAATGGCGCACTTGAATCTTTCTCACGAGCTCTTTGAAGGGTTTGTGAAAGTGTAGCAAATGAACAAAGAAGGAGGAAGGGTCTCACGCGAGTTATGTTTATTAAAACCCTTCGGAGATGCATCTCCGTCAAACCCATTGAGTGTAAAATACTGAGTTTTAAAATAAAATTTATTACGGAGATGCATCTTCGAAAACATGTTGGGCAACATGGGGTGACTCACTCAAGAAAGCGTTAGAGGTGTTTAATTTGGGTGCGTCCTGAGATAAATCTCCAGAATCTAAAGGATTTTGTGACTTTTCACTGTACTTAACGAGTACCTCATGAGGTGGATAAAGTAACCCTCTTAAGTCGGAACAGGTTATATCATGTCCATAAATCCGACTGACATCGTCGAAATGTACAGAATCAACATGAAATTTGTAGATGCAAGATATTTTGAGTGAATCTCTCAAACATAAGACTTGAAGAAACGAGATGCTTCTGCAAAAATACCCAAATGAACACGTATATGCCAAAACAATTCGGTTGGTGATAAGGAATTATATTGTTATAGGTTGGAAGTAGAGTTGTCAAAATGGGCTACTCGGACCTAAACGGGTTGGTCCTTGTGGACTCGGGTTTTTTAGGGTTGGGCCAAAAAAACTTATTGTAATATGGGTTCGAAAATTACTACCCAAACCTAACCTATATGAGTTTCAAGCTATCCGATCCTAAACGGGCTTTTTTTAAAATAAAAAATTAAAATTAAATCAATAATATTTATTATAAATAAAATTAAAAATTATATTATTTTAAACATAATATATTTTTAAGTATTATATTATCTTTTATAAATATTATAATGTATTTTTAAATACATCACATGTCTAAATTATATAAAACAATATTCGAATATTTAACATAAGAGAAGTTAATAGAATACGAATATAGAATGTTGATTATATTAATGTATAAAATTTAGAAGAGAAAAATTAAATAGAATAAAAATAAAATTTAGTAAATTTAAAAAAATCAATAAGCCAATATAAATATAAATATAGTTCTTTTTAATTTATAGTTATGATGGCATATCAGATTAGCCACAATCCCTACGAGTTAATTCTAATGAATAGTAAATTTTCTAAAATAGATAAAAAAATTTTAAAAAAATATAAACTTAAATTTTAAAATTTAAATTCTATAAATTTTTCGGATCTAACCGGCTAACTCATATCTAAATAGAATAGAATAGCTTTTGTAAGTTGAAAGATGTCATAGTCTTATAGGTACAAATTGATCTAGCTATTACACACTGTAAGTTTTTTTTTTTTTTTTTAATAATTACACACAATATTAAAACATAAAAATAAGAATTAGTAAGAAGATTAGTTTAGCCTAGAAAAAAATGCATCTTCCCCCCACTTTTACTTCCCTCACCTCAACTCCTTTTTCTTAGTAACCGCCAAAACTGACCCTTACACACACATCATGTCCCATTACTTTTTTTCTTTATAACTTTCCAAACCACCATCTTTTCTCTCATCAATCTTTCTCTCTTTAATTATTTATCATCATGACTACTTTCAACTCAAGAAAGGGACGTACCTTAAGTTCAAAAGACATAGCTGATACAGCTTCATGGTCTTGTGCTATTCTTCTTGTAGCACTTATACTTCTATGCATATTTCGAGAGAGCTCTACGCTTCATCAAAATCATGAGAGCAACCTCGTATTATACAAGCGACCCTATTGCGATGAAATCTATGTGGTTGGTGAAGGTGAGACACTTCACACAATTAGTGATAAGTGTGATGACCCTTTTATTGTTGAGAATAATCCTCATATACATGATCCTGATGATGTTTTTCCTGGCCTTGTTATCCAGATTACACCTTCCCCTCATCATAACTAGAACCAATTCATCTTCTGTACTCTTCATCGAACATCACCATTTTACTTTCTGCTTTTCTTGATTCGTGCAATAGTTATAATTATTTAGTTGTGTAAATATATATGTGAACATTGGGACTATATGTTTTACAACTACATCAATAAAGTTATTTTATAATTAAGATTTTAAATATGTATTTGATATTTGTGAATATACTATTTTTATTTTATTTTGGTATATATATATATATATATATATATATATATATATATATATATATATATATATATATATATATATATATATATATATATATATATATATATATATAGGTCTTTAAGTATAAAATTGTTATGCTGTTAAATTGTAAATACACAATCATGTTCTAGTGGATAGTCTAAAATAAATGATTTTGTCTGATCTCGTTCTTGATGTTCCAATGAGAAAAGATGATTTATGAAGTCACAAGGGTTCAAGAAAAAGTTATTTGCATTTAAAAGTGAAGTTAGAATGGTGACTTGAGGAGCTAAATTTTAGCCATCTATTGAAGATTTTACGATTTAGTAGGCAGATTAGACCAACCTTAAAAGAAATTCAGTTCGAGTAAGGAGGAGGAAGAAAAGTGTGGAACTTTGTTTTATAAGTGATATACTTTTAATAAAGACAATATGTTTTGTTGAACTTTGATGATGAAAACATATTTATGACAACTCCACTGACTTTTAACAAAATCAAGCATAAGTTATTAAATAGGTAAAAATGTAAATCTAAGTATTAGGGTTTGATGGACTTGAATGATGATAAACAAATAGAATATAAGCTCAGGCCTCATCTCATATAATCGCAAACAAGTGTATACAAAAGAAAGCATATGACAAAGTCTTGAAGTGAAAGAAAGTCCTACCTTAGTCTGAGTGAATATTGTATAAAGTAAAATAGCATTATTGTAAAAGTACATGGCTAAAACACACACACTAAAACTTATTTTCAAATTGATTTTTCTCGAAAAAAATTCTAAAATATCTCGAGGTTGTATCAAATGAAATTAGAGCAGTTAGAAATGCCATGGGCAAGGGTTTGGCTTTCTAATCGATTGGAGAACTTATATAATTGATTAAATCAGTTTAAAATTGAGCTTTAATCGATTACAACGACATCTTAATGTTGTACAATGACTAGATATTTTTTCCTTCCTTTTTGGAATTGGTAATCTATTACCAATGAAATTTCTAATCAACTAGCATTAAGTTATAATTAATTAGATTGTCTTAAAATGCATTAAAACCAATTTTCTTTTTGAGCCAACATCTAGCCTATTAATAGAGGTCTTTTCCCTCATTTCATTTCATCTAGAAACGTGTTTGACACTTCTCACTCTCTCTACCTCTAAAAAAAGTTCTTGTGTACTTTCTCTCACTAATGTTTTAGCCAAAGTACTTATTTGAGAAAGTCCTTTCGTGAGGGGGGATACTTTATAATTCTGGAAGGGTAGAATTGTAAATTAACCAAGGAAATCTGTTGTATTCACATTGTGAATATTATTCTTTTAGGGATTTGTTTGGGTTAAAATCTAAACTTGTAAAAGCTTTGGTTTGGGGATTGTATGATCAAATCCGTGTTTAGGTTTGAAGCTCAACACATGATAAAAGCTTGATAGGTTTAAGATTATCCTGTGATAAAATCTCACAGGTTCTTGGTCATCCCGTGGTAAAACCAAAGATAGGTTAAATTTTAGCCTATGATAAAAGCTTGATCGGTTCGAGATTAGCCCATGGTAAAATCTCATAGCCTATGGTAAAAGCTTACAAAGTTTTTTTAGAAGCTTGAAAATTAACTACTCTAAGATCCTCGTGGAAAGAAGACTAACCGCTTCGATCTACCGTTTGTGTAAGGGGAACTAATCACTTCAAAGCATCGTTTGGAAGAAAATACTCAATTGCTTATTCCTAAGTCTTATTGTTTTGGTTGGAATTCAACTAGTTTTCCTTATATAAGGGCGTTCGTGAATTTTACCTACTAAAAGCTCTTAAAATTTATTGGATACTCTCAAGATCAATTCTTGGGGAGAGGAGTAAGTCGTTTTCTTCTTTGAGTTAACCTCTATAACTCTTGGTGTTCACCTATTTTAGTTAACTCTTTATTTTCCGCAATTTATATTTCGCAATTTATTTTTCACTGCTTAATATTCAAACCTTTCCAAAATGTCTTTTAACTCTATTTTTAATCCATAAAGTTTTTCAAAACCATGTTTTATGGGACCACACAATTCACCCACTCTTTTATATGGGAAGTCACGTGTCCAACTAAAAGAACAAATCATATTTTGCCACCTAAAAATATGAATGGTCCAAATGAAGACCAAAGGGAGAGAAACCCTAGAAGAAATAATATGGAGTATCTCACTCAAGGAATGGAGAATCGGGGAGGAAGACCATCTCTTAACCTTAACCGTCCATGACTCATAGTAAGAACAGTTGTAGGGAAAATCAACGTCAAAAGGAGGATCTCACTGCTTCATATTCTAACCCGGAGAATCAAATCCAAAAACCTTTAGGATTAAAGGCCGCGTGCCTCCCCACTCAGGCTAGGAAATAACACAACTCATAACCAACTCGTCATCACACACACAACCCCAAGAGACAAGGTAACTTATCGCAATGATGACTCCCCTCGACATGGAGCAAAGGAGAGAGGAATTTAAAGACGTAGATCCCACCCCCAGTCTGAGAGAGACTCCTTTGAGAATCACACGGGGAAATTGATGATCGAGAGCTCACGGTTAGCATATGCAGAAGACCATGCAATCCTTCTCCTTATGAGGAATAAGAAAAAGAAACATTTAAAAACACCTTCACCAGAAAAATCATTAAGAATGGGTACATATGACAGGACGACTGATCCTAGTGAACACGTATATTTGATCGACATATTCCTCAAATTCAAAGGTGCGAGAGGTCAAAATAGTGTAAATTGCTTGTATTTACTTTAAAGGCCACAGTTATTCTTTTCAACTATTGTAAGTTTCTATTGATGAATTTTTTGTTTAATTGGTATTTTATTTATAAAAAATTGTTTGTTTCTTTGTTGGCTATTACAATTGTTTTAAATGTTGATATGAATTTTGAAAAGAATGAGATGCGTTCATGCAAGAACATTTATTAATAACTCTTTTGATGTTGGTCAGAAAGAGTCACAATTGATCTTTTTGTGTAAGAATTGACTCCATTCTTTCTTGTTGTAGTACCTTATCTTTCTATATAGTATTTGTCAACTAATTAATCCAAGGTAAGGGCTTTGATTGTCATTCCATCGTCATAATGGACATCCATGTCCGTCTATTTTCTAATTGTCACATTAGGGGGATATACTTGAATATATTGTTGTCACACAATAAGGGTTCGTAAGCATCTGTCTGCCAATATCTCACGTAGGGCGGCCTACACCGAATTATCTCTATATGAGCTTCTTTATTCTTTGTCATGACCACTCAAACATGAAGTCTAAAATTCAGGGATGTACAGAGCCCCCGAAGCATGATGCCCAATGCGGCGAGATGCTTAAAGAAAAATTCATACGAGTTATCTGACCATTGCATATGGACCATGAATCCAAGTCTGACAATTATAATTTCTCTAGGGGCGAGATGCTTAAGGAGGAAAAGTCGTGAATTTTCCGCATTTATCTTAACTCAATTTGTTAAGTTGGATGGATTGATCCATACTCCGAACTAGAGCTCGACTCCTAAAAACCTAGAGACACATAGTCCCTCAAGTATGAGACCCGTGGAGGCGAGATGCTTTAAGTGAGAGTACTAGATAATCCATAATATTTTTACATTTATTCTCCCTCTGTCGACATTGAGCCTAGTTTGGATGAGTCAATATTAAAAATGCGAGCTGGTTTGATCTATTGGTGATGCACGTCTTAGTTATGTTATAGCGGGATTGCTCTATTTTGGCATAACTAAGACGTGTATCGTCAGTAGATCAACCTAACTCCCAATTTTAATATTGAATCATCCAAACTAGGTCCGACCCTGACAAAGGGAGAATAATTGTAAAAAGATTATGTAGAGTTCTTTCACTTAAAGCATATCCTTTCGATGACCCTTATGCTTGAAAGACTACGTCCTTTCTAGATTTTTAGGAGACGTGCTCTGGTCCCGTGTATGGATCAACCCATCCAACTCAATAAGTTGTGTTACGATCAATACGAAATAGAAATTTATACATTCCAGTTAAAATTATAAGGTCGGGCATGATCACGACTTTCTCTCTTTAAATATCTTGTCCTTACAGACTTCATGATTGGTGAACTCTAATATTTAACACGGTGATATTTTTTGTTTTTATTAATACACATTATTTTATTTTAGACAGCATAACATAAATTTCTTTTCAATAATATTATCATTAATTATTTGATTAAAAAATTATTCAACCTTATTAACTATTTAACATTTATTTTAATATTATAATAATTAATTTTAATGAAGAAAATTTGAATTTTAAGAGTGTGTTCTTTTCAAAATTTCAGATGTTATGTATAAATTGCTTATAAAAAAAATTGGTGCTGTTAATTTGTAGAAGGTTTTATTTCAAATTTGTTTTATACTTTTAAGTTTGTTGAGTCGGCACTACCTAATATCATTCTAATTATGGAACTTGTTGTCGGTTGGAGTATTTATTAGCTTAATGTGCTTACTTAATAGTAGATTGTGTCACTATAGCGATACATGGACGTTTGTTATGAAAAGAAGGAAGAAGAAGCTTTCATTGTCTATGTCAAGGTACCATTCTCATATAGACTCCTATATCTAGGCGTGCAAGTTTTGAACAGTAGTTGTTCTTAAGTCAATATAAGATTTTTCTTTTAATAGCTTATTTTGTTTTTTTATGTGATAAGTTAAGCTTTTTATTTAAATAAAAAAGAAAAAGAAAAAGAAAATAAATAAAATAAATTACATTTTAATAAAAAATACCCCTACAATATCGGTTCATCTTTGAGGATATATGTCATTG